TGTGAAAGTATGAAGTTACTGAGTTCAACCAAGTACAGAGATGGCAAATTAGCCTTTGGCTAGATAACCTTTGTACAAAACAACAATGGTTGCTTTGTTTTATCATGCAACATTAATTACTGTGCTGTCCTTGATTAAATAAACTTAACTAACTAAACCTAGTGAGTAACAGTGGTTATTTTATTTTATTTTTGTCCTTGTGTTTGTCTTTGTCCTGAACAAAGAGATTACTAGAGCTCCAGCTGCTATTCTGCTGTGTATAGACTTTAGATAAATGGTACTGATGTATCATGTCCAATATGCTTGTATCATATTGCGTATGAGGGCCAGAGGTAAGGCAAAGGCAGCAGGTGAAAACCAGTCTGTTCCTTCAGGGAAGAAAACTCCAAGAAGATTATCAATCAGTTGGATCAGTCTGGTGGTGTGTCTGAACAGCTGGACCTGTTAGTGTGGTTTGGTGAGCTTAGTTACCATGCTCCGTGTGAAGCTGAGGGAACCTGGAGTAAACACCACCACAGGTGAAAACCACCTACTATTGTGGTTACACATTGAGTCATGAGATTCAGCAACATCAACAGTAATGATAGCGAGTCACCAAGACAACATCAGTCACACTGAGAAGCTGGATTTCCAGCTGACTAGCCAGTTAGAAACAAAATCCTATTTTTTTCTGGTCAGTGAATGCACCATACCTAAGAGTTAGACTGAGGACCATGTGGTTGTTAGCTCTAGCTGAGAAAGCAGAGGACGTCTCTTAGAACAGGGGATGGAGTGACTACGGGTTAGAGCCCAGATGTGACTGAAGGCTGAATGCATTCCAGCAAATCTGTTTTCTTTAATCCTTTTGACTTTTGTCATGGAACATACTGGACTGACTGACAGCTGCTAAACACTACATGGCTCTAGTGTTTAGAACAGGGGTCACCAACTCCAGTCCTCGAGGGTCACCATCCTGTAACTTTTAGACGGGTCTCTGCTCAAACACACCTGGATCAAATAAACTG